GGGGGGGGGGGGGGGGGGGGGAGATGGCTCGTCGTCTGTGTCAGAAGGGCCCCTCCCCGCACCCCCCCGGCCGTGTAGCTTGCTCCTCACCCACGAGCAGTTTGCACATTACCCCAAGCCTCGTCCTCACTCAGGAATTCCTTAGATGGCGCCGCTTCCACACCTGCCCCGCCCCCACCCATCTGTCTTGCACCTGCAGCTACAGACACTCCTTGGTGGGGAGGGCACCCTCTGCATAACGCCAAACACCTTTAAAATTCAGTTTCTTCTTAAACTCTTTGTCCAGCTCCTCTCTGTTGAACTGGGCGTTTGCACTCTCAAAATCAAAGTCGCCTTCAAACTTGATCGTGTTCTCTTTGACGTTAGTCGGGCGGTTTTGCCCTCTGGAGCGATTCCTCGTTCGTCTGTTCCCTGGGGGAAGGAAGGAAAGCCGTGACTGGTGAGCCGCCGAGCTGACATTACTCCAGTGAGACGGGTGACGAAGAGGGGACAAGGCACACGGAAGCGGACACTGAGCCCCAGCACCCCAAAGCCGTCACCCACAGAGGCCAAGCAGAGGGGCGAGCAGAGAAGCGGAGCACAGCCGGGTGGCCCGCGGCTCCCCGGAACTCAGGTGGCAACAACAGCCGTTACCTGATCTCCTCCTCTGAGGTCTTCTGTTCTCGTCGTTCACCTGCCCTTGACTCTGCACGGCTGTCGGCTGAACTACATCTAAGGCGCAAAAGGAAAGAGTAAGGCAAGCGCCCACCGAAGCAGAGCCCAGCGACGGAAGCGGGGTGGCGCTAGCACAGGGGCCACGCAGCAAGGGCAGGCCCTGCGAGAACACGCGGGGTTTACGATGGGGGGCAGGGGGTGCGGGCTTTTGAATGAAAAAGGAAGAAGACAGAAAAGAGAACCCCAGGAAGCAGGGCGCCACTCTGAGGCGCTGAAGCGGACACCAGGACGGGAAGGGACAAGTACCGCTGGTGGTCTTGCCGCCCGGCTGGGCCGGGCGCCCGTTCAGCTGCATCCCCACGGTGGCCTTGCCAGGTAACAGCTTTTTGGCATTCGGGTTATCGACAGAACCAGTCTGGACGGCCTGCTCCACCATGGGGCTCTTGCCGACTGGGACGGATGGAAAACCAGCTCCTGAGATGGGAAGGGAAGGAGCGCTGAAGACCAGAGAGGAGAAAACCTCACGGCCCTCCAGCCCCTCCCTCGGGGTGGCAGGCCGGGCAGTTGAAGGCACCACCTCGAGACTCTCCCAAGTCTGGCAGAGCCTCCCGGACCGTCCCCTCCCGTGACTAGCCCGGCGGCCACAAGGCCAGCTCACCAGGGAGCCCTGAGCCCCCGATCCCCAACCTAGGTAACCCCGAGGAGACAAAAACACCCTGCCAGAAACGAACACTTCCCAGGTGGTTTAGAAAACAGCTTTCCAAAAACCACACAAGCTCTAAGCCCGAGGGGGCTCCTTGGTTCCAAGATGCTGGCAAATTCACGGTCTGGGAATTTGTTCTGTTCTGGTCCACGCTGGACAAGAACCATCCCAGTCTGGGATCTTCTAGTAAACGGTCATTCTTTAAAGTTAAACTCTAGAACGCGGTCGTTTCTGCTTGAGGCATAACAAAACCAAAAAGAATGATGTGATAAGACCCGACTATAGAAAAGCAGTGCATCTTGAAGAAACGAAGGCTCCCAGGCTGCCCTTGGTGGTGGGGCCGTACCAGAGTCTGTCCCTACAACACTGCAGTCTCAGCCCTCGGCGGAGGTCCCAGCTCCCGAGGTGTCCTCTGAGGCAGGAAGGGGGAGAGGGCACGCCACCCACACTGGTCCGTCCCCCTCCCCCCCCCCCCGCCGGTACCGTCTAAACGGGGCACTGTGGGGCTGGGCAGAGGCATACGGAGCTCTGAGGCACAAAACCTGGGCCCTGGGCACGGAGGTCACCATCAGGAGAGACGGCCCATTACGCGTGAAAATTGGCTGTTTCAGCTTTCTGGTTTTTCACGTGAGACAGAAACTAAGGCAGTTACTGTGAAACCTTCCTCACGACCAGATCAAGAGAAGAGCTCCCAAGGCAAGCTGGACGGCCTCGCATACTGGCGCGCGCAGGTGTCCTGTGACGGAACCACGCTGGAGCCCCCTCCCCGGCCTGCCACCTTGCCCAGCAGGGCCCTCCCGGGAACGCAGCCCGGCTGCTCCTGCCACACTCTAACTCGATGGGGGTGAGACTCAGGCTCACCCGTTCTTGATAAAACAAAACCATCAACAAACTACCCTCCCCTGAGAGCAGCTTTACACCAACAATTCAAAGAACGAACCGTCTAACGTAAACTTTAACTGGGCAAAAACACCACTGCTTCTACATCAGGGACACACTGGCATCCGTGTGGGAACGGAAAGCAACACGTGCAAAATAACAGACTGGCACGGATGCTCTGGGTGCGACCCTGGACCGAGCCTCCGCAGCGGGGAGGGCAGGGCATGGCGCTCTACCCAGTCAGGCACGTGAACCTCAGCTCTCAGAGAAACGAGAAGAACATCATGAAAGACCAAGAAGCCCCAACAGGTGCCACGGCCCAGCTGAGACAGGCAGTGCACCCCGGCATTAACAAGCTGGTCACTTGGCCCACGCCGTTCACCTGCTCGAGCGAATCTCCCAATTCTAACGGGGCTTCACGTTAGAAAGACACCCGAGGCCTCTCGGAAGGGTGACGAATATGCCACGCAGCTCCCAGAACAGCATGTGAGTTTCTTAGGGACGCTCCCCTGCAGTGTCACCCAGCAATCTAGAACACATTCTGGGCCAGCTGAAGCCCCAGGGAAAGGCTTTCTGTGCAAAGCTTCCCACATTTGGTAGTCTCGATCCAGGTCCAAGCAGACCCTGGACCCAGGGGGGAGTGAACAAGTTCCGGGTCAGTTCTTTCTAACGCCTTCTTTAAAACCGTGCGAGCTCGTTAGTAAGTCACGACTACGTATTGAACCACATGGAAGCAGCTGAATTGACCCTCGGGCTTGGCAAAGCATCTACTACAGCCACTGTCGCTCTGGGCTACTGGTTTACCCCCTTGCTCTCAGGACGGCAAGACAGCATGCAGCTCTCCCCGACTGCGGTTACCCTTGGAGGTGAGCTGATGTGGCTCTGAGGACACGTCAAGCTCTGAGGCGGGCTGTGGAGACGGAGAAGAGCTAGGGCTGGAAGCTGCGGCCGAGGCTGGAGGGCTCACCAGCTTCTCTAAAGGAAGACAGAGGAGAGCAAAAGAGAAAGTACGCAAGTAAGTAACGAGACACCGGTCCCGTGTCCAGCAAGCTCGGAAGAGCCAAGCAACCTCTCACGGGACACGTGGCTCACACAAACCTATTCTAGAAACACCGTGAGCCAGGCAGAGCAGCAGTCCGGACAGCGTGACTCAGGAGCGGCCCAAGAGCAGGTCTGCAGGGCCTGCCCACAGCCCCAGGCTGGGGTAGGAGCCTGCCGACTCCAGGGTTTGAACGCCTCGCAAAGCTGCGTCCGGGGCCAGGCAGACTGTCACGCTACACGTGCAGAAGAGAACCTCATTCCAGGATCGACCCACCTCGGGGGACGGAACTTTTGAGCAAACCAGGGACAGCAAAATGCCTAACGGATGGGTATCGATTCAGCTTTTTGCGTTTACGGGCTTCCAAGGTGTCAATAGTTAGAGCCCATCCGTAATCACAAAACCAGTTGTTTCTTATTGAAGCAAACGTGCCGTGACTTCCACCCAGACCCAGGCTGACGTTTCAAATGAATTTTGATTTGACTCATCTGTCCCCAAAGTCAGACGAACTCTTTTACTCTCAATTGAAGAGTTAGCCGGCGTTCTAACTGGTTCAAGTTGCACTGAGTGCTGTGTTGAGCGTGCGGAACAAGCAGAACAAGCCAGGAGCAGGGTGTCCCCACGATCAGGGTCTGCGGCCCCGCCTCCTGGAGATCACAGCGCGAGTTTAGCAGACAGAAACAGGTTACTCACCTAGACCCAAGGAAGCGGCGTACTGCTGGCTAAGCAGAGAGCTGGCAGCCAGCTGGCTGTAGGGCGGCATCCCTCTGAAGGGGCTGTAAGGCACGTGTGGCTGGAAGGAGGAGGCCGAGCCCGAGCCCAGGGAAGACTGACCAACGAGACACACAGATGAGAGCAGCACAGAGCAGTCAGACTTGTCTGCCTGTGTTCCTGGAGGCCCGGGGTCGTGGGGCAGAGCCTCCAGAACCACCTAAGCGAGCTCAGAGCTGCCTTTCCCACATCCCGTAGCCAGGTCCGCCCGTCCGGGTCACTCTAACCGGAATTTCCCCTAACTCAGTTAACCCCTCAGATGGCTCCCCACCGGCTGTCGTCCCCTAGTTTAGCCTCTGTAAGCGGGCAGACTTGCCATCCGAGATTTGGCCCTGCCCCCAACACGCAGCAGCCCAGCCACACAGTTCCCACACGTGCGACACCTCTCCGGTCCCCATACCCTCAGGGACGCTGCTGCCTGTTGCTCCCCAAAGACCTCTTTGTGCCCCGAGGCCTGACTCAGGTACTTGCCTCTTCTGAAGTCTCTGAGAAGTCTCCCTCCAGACCTTTCATAGGTCTAGCCCGGGGCTTCTCCACATGTCCCCAGAGCCCCCCCAAGCATGCTACCTTCCAGGGAGCGCCCTCAGTCCCAGAGCCTCCCGCAGAAGCAGCCTCGGAGCGACCAATGAATATTCAGATGTGCAAGTCAAGAAACTATTAAGCTAGGCTCCCCGGTAATCCTGGGCAAATTCTGCCCTAACGCAGGAGGCGCGTATACGGCATAAGAACCGCAAGGTCCATGTCCCACGACACTGGGGTTTAAAATCCAGACGACATCAGGAGAGCAAGTCCTGCTGTCTCGACCCAACAGTAAGGACAAACGTGATTCCCCAAGCCTCCCCAGAAGACTAGAAGCACCACCCCCTTTCCTCTCTCTCTCTCTCTCTCACTCACACACACACACACACACTCGCACACACGGAGAGTCTCACTCTACAACACACGACACCGCAAGCTGAGGTTAAGACTTTCTGCAGCAACGGCCTGCGCAGAAATTAAACCACTTTTCATTGAAAGGCTATTCCTCGAGTCGAGCGCTCCCGCCAGACAGAGGACACCAAGTTCCACTTGGAAAGCGGCACCTCTCGGAAAGCGTGCCCACGTCGGGAGGAGGGCAGCACACTTACTTGGACGATAGCAGGGTCCTGCGGGAGCGTGTGCTGGGCTTTCGGAGGCTCACACACGGTGATATCTTTGATATCACTTCCCCGGAAAATGATGTACTCATAGATCTCCTCTCGCGGGGGGGCCGGCCTATCTGTGGGACGGTCTTCGGTACCGAAAGACCTCACTTGGGAGTTGAGAGAGAGAAGGGTTAGGTTGTCGTCCTCGGCCAAGGGCGTTCAATCCATCCTCCTGCACTGCAGCCCTCGGGCACTCTGTGCCCGGCCCTGCCCTGCACACCACCTTCGGTCCACCTCCCAAAGGCTACTCCGCCCCCCAGTTTCCAGAGCACAATGCCTACAAGACCCCGGCTGGCAACGCTCCAGAAGGTTCGGGGCCCAAAGACAAGTTAACAAGTTCTGAGGCCCACGGTCCCCCGAAGTTGACGGTTCTCAAGTGTGAGCACAGGAGGGCCAGCGCCCTGAGCAAACAGTCCACTTTGCAGAACACCCCTCTACACCCGACTTCCGAGATTAAACAGCCCGCCAGCTGCTCTTTGCCTGAAACCTCCCCGCACGTCACCCCTGGGAGTTTGTTTTGTTAGGCGAGAAGCCTGTGGGCTTGTTACCCGCACCCTCCCCGGGAGGGGCTCTCACAGAAACAACGGGAGAATGAGCTCAGAGCCTGGACCCACACCACCGCCAGCCTGGGTCTGCCCGAAGGCCTTCTTGGGGTATGCACCCTTCCCGGCAGGGTTCAGGCTCTGGGGGCAGAGCTGGGCTCGAAGCAGCCTCTATCTAATCTGAGCACAACTCCTGCTAAGGACCAGAGGCTCTGGGCCTCAGTTTCTCCAACGGGGATGGCATGCCAGATACACTCAAGTGCCAAGGGTATACGTCAACACATAACCTTGCAACTCTGGATTCTCTCCTGGAGCCACGCAATTGGTCTCTCCCAGAACTCGGGCGCCAGACTTTAGGAGGTATGCCCGGAGTTTGGAATGACTGCGTCCTGAAGGCCCAAGGCTCCCTCTGACGTGGGAAACAGGGACGCCGTGCCCTGACCCTCACAGGCCCAACGACACCCATCAGACACCCAGGGTTTCTGCAGCCCTGGCTGCACCCGGCACTTCTCTCCAAGAGGCAAGGGAAGGACACTCGCCATCTTCCCCCGGGAGGATGAAGACAAAGAAACTTTGAGCCACCTCCTCCTGCCTCTACAAGCCTGGAAAAGATTCTGGACTCCCCTAGAGCCACATTCCAGCCTCCTGCCTCTACGTCTGGCGGGGGCTTCAGGGTGCTCACGGTGCCTCCAGGGAAGGGTCGGCCACAAAAGGGGAAAGCCACAGACTGAACGTCTGCATTAGGGCAGGAGAGCGCTTTAAGTGGGGGCACCTAGCAGCCGACCGATGCTCCTCTCCCGGCAGGAGGCTCCATTAAGACGTGGTGTTTGTTCAGGCTCAAGGCCCCAGCTGCTTAATAGGTTCCAGAAGGGCTCACAGGAGTAGCGTTCTGGGGAGGCCCCGGGGAGCCTCAGGCCCCTCGCCCCGCCCCTCCTCCGCAGGGACCGGGATCTCGGCGCCCGCCGCCCCCTCCGCCCAGCCCAGCAGCACCGGCCCGCCACCTGCAGAGGTGGGCTGCGCGGAGGAGGGGGCGGCGCAGTGGGAGCTGGACCCGCCCCCACCTCCCCTCCCCACCCTCGGTTAAGGGCGGGCCGGCGCGACACATAACCAGGCCGCCGGGGCCAGACCATGAGCCGGCCATGGCGGCAGGAGGGCCTCTGGGGAGAAACGTCCCGAGGAGGTGGGGGGCGCCCGGAGGGGGCGACGGCGCCCACCGGCTGTTGGCGCCCGGGGGCCGGGGTGGTTGGGGCGTGGGGCGCTACCTTTGGCGAGCGCCACGGGGGTTGTCCGTGCCTCGATGTTGTGAGAGGATGCCCTCTGGGGATCTGCGCCTGGAGATGAGCTGACTTTGCTGCTTGCGGGTAGGTGCCCGAGAGAACCCGCTCATGGCGGCTGCGCACCGGCTGGGCCTGGCCTCGCTGCCCCGCGACCAATCATCGCCGTCCGCCCCGCTCCTCCGCCTCGGCGCCTCTCTCACCGTCGCCCGACGGGCTGGCTGCTGGGACCAGCAAGGGGCGGGGCGGCGGGGAGCTCTGAGGGGGAGCGCGGGGAGAGAGGCACGTAAACACATCGGGGCCTGCGCCGCACACGCTCCCGCCCCCGCACGCTCGCTGCGCCCATTGATAGCCGTCGCGCCTGTCCTTTAAATATGCAAGCCGCGCTATGCCTGGGGGCAGGCCTGCCTACGCCTGCAGCACTGCCAGAGCCCGGGCAGGCTTCCCTGCTCATCACGCCCCTCCCCGCTCAACTCCCGGCGGTGCCCGGCTTGGGGGGAGCACCGAGACCTTGCTGGCAGGCTCAGGGGGGGGTGGGGAATCCTGGGAGGGCGGACATGCTGCAGGCCAGGCAGAAGGCGAGAGCCTATGCTGGAGGGGGCGGGGCGGGGCGGAGCGCGGCGACGAAGCCTGGGCGCCAGTTCCCGTGAGCAGGTTCCAGAGGCTCCATAGTCTCTGCCGAAGAGACCAGAAGAGCTTCCCGTGTCCTGGGCTGGCGAGCGGCGGTGCGCCCGATCCCTCCGTTCCTAGGCACTGGGGCCGAGTCCCCTGCCCGAGGGGGGGGGCGGGCGGAGAGCGGGGTCGCCGGGTTTCCCCGACGACGTGGAAGGCGAGGGTGGGGGGCTGAGGGTCCCTAACCGTGATGTGGAGGCAGGGGCCAGGTTTCCCTGTCCAGCGAGGTGAAAGGCAGGGGTTCAGACCCCTCACCCAGGCAGAAAACGAGTTTGGGTCCCCTACCTGAGTGGAGGCGGGGGAGACAGGAGTCCCCTGTCTCGGAAGGTGAAGGCGGAGTTCAGGGTGTCTGTCCCGCGGGGGGAAGGGGGGGGGGGTTCGGGGTCCCTGCCTGCGACGTGGAGGCGGGAGCTCGGGAGTCCCTGCCCAGGGAGTTGAAGGCGGGGTTCTGGGTCCCTGCCTGCGACGTGGAGGCGGGGGCTCAGGAGTCCCTGCTCAGGGAGTTGAAGGCGGGGTTCGGGGTCCCTGCCCCAGACGCGGAGGCGGGGGCTGCCCTCTGGGCGCAGTGGCAGCTGCGGGTAACGAGCGCTTCCGGCGCGTCAGCCGCTAAATATAAAGTGCTGAGCGCATCTTCTCTTTTAATCCCTCCCCTCCCCCAAACCTGCGGTAGCTTCGTGTCCCTTAAAATAAATCCCAGCCCGCTACCAGCGCCTCAAAGCCCCGCCTGGCTTGGCCTGGCCCGCCCGGCTCCAGCCCGGAGGCCTCCTGGGCGTCCTCGGTGAGAGGCGGAGAGGGGGGCTCCGACTGTCCCTGCGCGGTCAGCCATTCAGAGCGCGCACGTGTGCGCTGGCTTTTTGTCCGTCTCTCCCTCTGGCCCGGCCCATCAGATCAGGGATTAGTGCTGGGCCCTGGAAGAAACTTGGTGCATGGTGACCAGCATTTTATAAAAATGAAACAGAATAAGACGGAAACTATCAGGGCATCCCACATAGAATATTGTTTTGTGTTGAGGCCATTTACATGTGTGAATATTTATGTGGGTACTGGGTCAAATGTGGGATGTGTTTCTTACCAGAGTGCCAAACAAACGAATGAAAGCCACTGCAGAGAACAACTTGAGCCACCCCACAGACCAGGCGTTCTGACTCCCCTGGTCTTACAGAGGAGGACTGAGATCCAGCACAGGATAGAGGAGCTGCTGGCAGGACAGGTGTCTGCCCGTCACAGAACACTCTGGTCCCACTGGCACTCAGCCATGGCCAGTACCAGAATTTGAGAAAAGGGAGCGGAAGAGATGGAAAAGTCTTCAAAATGTATCTGCCAAGAGCTACCTGTACATTTTAGACCTGGTTCTTGACTTGTGGAAAATTGCAGTGGTGAGGAGAGCAAGGACAGGACGGCCATGGAATTAGTGTAGCCCCACTGAGAGAGATCTCTGGGGATCCGGGCCTCCTGCTCCTGGGACAGAGGTAGGGCTCTCCCTTGCTGTGGCACAGCCTTTCCCTGGGAGCGCACCTGTCTGGAGTAGCTGTCGTCCCCTGTCCCCTGATCATCGCTGCAACCATCTGGCCTGGTTGTCCCCGCATGCAGCCATGCAGCCGCAGCCCTCCCCTCCACTTTCCAGCTCTAGAACATGACTTGCCCAATGTTACAGATTCTGTGCCTCCCAGATCCTGGTTTCTGGGCCACAGGCCTCTGTGTTGGAGGTGGGGAAGGACTCTTCACTAACAGGAGTTGGTTCTGTCTTGGAAAAGAGAGTTAGACCCGAAGCCTCAGGACCAGGGTGTGGTGTCATTCCTGGAGACCTCCAAGAGCCTGCTAGGCTTCTTGGTGTGCAGCTAGGTGGTTCCCTGAGGACATTAGCCACGGGGCAAATGCCCAGGCAGGGCAGAGGCTAAAAATATATGGGGCACACAGGCCCAGGAATGCCAGTCCTACCACCCATTCCTTGGTGTCCTGCCCAGAGCGGAGGGTACTTTGCAGAAGGTTTGAGAAGAGGAACGGTTGTGGCAGTACCTAAACTTGACTCTGGAGGTCATCGGCGTGGTCTGTGTTCCAAGCTGGGGCACACCCATCCAGCACGTCCACCCTAGACAGCTCTTCACGGAGCCTATCTATCGCCAAGCCTTAGACTCCTGGGGTGGGGATGGGGGCGGGGTGGACGGAGAGACTGCTGAGGAGCTGGGAAACCCTGAGCAGTTCGGACTCCCTCTCTCAGTTTCTCCGTTTGTCCAACAGAGATTATAGCTGTGCTGCCCATCTCGTCAGTGCTGGTGAGGAGCCTGGAAGACCGTGCCCGTGGGGGCCTTGGCAGGGGCCAGGAGCCCACCGCCTGGGCCCACCCAATGGGAAGCTGGCTGTGCCGAGGACCACCCACTGCAAACATGAGCCGCTTACCTAAGCACCTGCTGTGTGTATGGAGAAGAGTGAAGCGGGCCCTCATGAGGACAGGTGTGAATATGTGGACGTGGGACGCCTCCCGGGTCCCATCACAGGCTGGCAGCATCACACGGCCAGCGTCCTGCAAGAGGAGGGCACGTTGCCACAGCATATCACCGTGACTCTGATGTCCCCCTGAGGAAGTATGGGCCACGTGACCGTGGGTATGCTAGGTATCACTGCTTGCTAGGAGCAAAACGTAACAGGTGAGTTGATTCAAAGACACGTCAGTGATGGGTGATATACAGAGCAAGTCAAGTCAGTGGCCTGAAGCGTGGGAGCATGCCAGCGGGGCAGGACCTCACCCGTCTCCTGAGGCTGGCACAAGGGAGGCGGGTGCTCGCTTCTGGGGAAGCCCTGGCCCAGCTGCAGGTAGCGCCGCCCGGAGGCAGCCGAGAGTACAGGCGGGCTGGGCGCAGAGATCAGGGCTGGCTTTGAAGGTGCCACCTACTAGGCCTTCCCAGCAGGGAAAGGGGCTGGAGGCCCGGGGTGTTGGGGGTGTTCGGTGGCCGGAGGAGCCGGGAGGGAAAAGACTGGAAGGGGATCTTGTTGTTCTTCCGGAGCCAAGAATTCTGAGGTCTGACCTGCTCTCTGTGAATCCTGTTGAAATCCATTTCCTCCTGCCCAGGGCCCTACAGGGCTGTTTTCCTTAGAGACACGAGGAGCACCAGTAGGTGAGGGCCTGAGGTTCATGCATCTTGTTCCCCCTCTCCCCTCCCCTCCCCCTGCCCTCTCCCCTCCCTCTCCACCCTTTCCCAGTTAAGCACTCTGGTGTGAGGGAGCTAGGGAGTGAGAAGTCCAAGAAAAACATTAGGGCCCCGACCCCAGCAAGCCACAGCCACCTTTCCCGGCTTCCCGCTGGGCAGAGGGCTGAGCAGAGTTGGCTCCCCGAGGGGAGCTGCCCCTCAGAAGTTCAGAGGGAAACGCTTCGAGATTCTGGAAATAGGAGAGGGCACCAGAGGAGGCCCGAGGGGCTTCTCTCCTGATGGCGGTCAACTCCGCTGCTGCTCCCCAAAGCTTGAAGAGTGGGGACAGTGTGGGGGTACATGTTCTTGGGCCTCACCGCTGGAACCCGGCCCGGGGCCTCCTGGCTGTGGGCTCTCCCAGCGTCCGAGACGTCTAGACCCCACCTCAGAGAGACGAGCACTGAATGTGCAAGGAGCTGCTCACGCGGGACCAGCGCACAGAAGAACCCAGTCATGCCCCGTCCCGGATCCCTGCCTGCGGGGCCCTGGCGGTGAGGGTGACAGCCTGGGTGGGGTACGGGCGGCCTCAGGACCGCCGCCGGAGCCATCCTCAGCCACAGGGCCCTGCCACCTCTTCCCTCTGCCTGGGGCCCCTCTCGGCCTTTCCAGGGAAGAAGAGACATCCAGGCCGAGAGGGGCCCGGAGGGACAGCCTCCCGGCAGGTGAGGGGGTGGTTGGGGGTGGCCTGCTGAGGACAGAGCTGGACAGCAAAGTGGCAGATGGCCTGGGGGTGGCTCCTGGTTCCCCCTCCCCTGCTAGTTGGTGGGGGCCCCTGATGGTGTCACCCTGCCCCCCACCAGCCTGAGAGCCCTTGCACGGCCGGCCTGGCTCGAGGGGAGCGTGCCATTGTTGTCTGTCGGGCTCAGCTTACAGGGACCGTGAGAGCAGCCAGCACAGCGAGTCGGTCCGGGCCGCCTGCCGGCCACCTGGACCTTGTCCCCTGACAGTTCCCGAGGGAAGAGGGAAAGGACGACCAAGTGACCAAGGCCACAGCTGAGGGTGAGGAGAGGGGATGTGACGAGCAGGGAAGGGGGGGTGTATGGCCCCGTGCCCCTAAAAGATGGCTCTGAGGACCCAGTGACGGTGCGTCTGCTCACCAGCAGTTGTGCCCCAGAATGCTTTCGCAGTGAAACCGGAAACCCCCGGGCCCGCTGGCAGCAGATTGGACCTTTGATGGCAGCGTGTGCCCTGCTGGAAGATTCTGGGGCACTGAGTGTGAGTGGAACTGGGCTGCAGGGACAGGGTGGCAAGAGAAA